GCCAGTACTCCAGTCTTCAGTGTCACATGATCCTTCAGAATCAGTCTAATATGCTGATTTATAATCAATATTGAAAACAGTTGTTCTGCTTAATATTTTTTTGGAACTTGTGATACTTTTTTCAGGATTCTTTGACGAATAAAAAGTTAAAAAGGACGGCGTTTATTTAAAATAGAAATCTAAAATACTAAAATATCACAGTTTCAGATCCCAAACCTTGAGCACGAGCAACAATAATGCATTATTACATAATGGAAAGCTTTCATGTACTGCACTGAAAATTCCCTGCATATGGAAGTGTCCTCCATACTGTCCTTCCTGAGTGTATTTAACCAGCGGCCTGAGTAACCCACGGCTCCCCTTGGTCCGGGGCAGTGAGTTAATGCCCATCTGTCAGGGCTGCAGGGGAACGGAGACATATCATTCCTCATCCTCAGGTCCTGTTAGGGCCGTGGCAGTGAGGTACAGTCCCGCACGTCCGCCTGATATATGGTCACTGAGGCTGAACGGACGACCTGCATCCTCCTCATTTGTACACTGTGACTGAGGGGACAGGTGAGACTTAGTGGAATAGAGTGCTGTGTGTTCGCTGTCCTAAAACCGTCCCGACATCTCAGAGGTGAGGAAGGCAATCAATATCGTATAGTTTGGTAATGGTACTTTATCAAAAAGTCGTATTGATCTGCTGACACCAACTATTGATTTTCACTTTGTTTTAATTTTATATTTCAAGGCCAGGGCCTGAATTTCGTTTTGGAAAATGGGGGGGAATTCCCCCTTTAGGTGGCTCTTATGGGGGGGGATTTTTTAATTTGAGGGGGGAGTTAGGGTATTTTTTTAGACATATTTTTAAACTACAATCATCCAACCAACATGTTTCGTCACCCAGTGTATTTGTGTTTTACAAGTTATAATATTGTTGATTCACATTTATATTGTGAGGAAGATACTTAAAAAAACTTTCAAACTCTGAATTGAATTTATTTTAATTTAAGAGCTCATGCACGGATCAAACTGTTACACATAAGTTGTGTTTCTCAACTGTTTACATTAACTTAATAGCCTGTATACCGACAATGTTTAGTATAAATCGACTGTTTACATGAATACTCATCAAGACGGGCACTTTAACATATTTTTGTATATATTTGGCCGTTTACGCGCAATAAGGCCCGCGCTCTCAGATGCGTCTCTATGTGTGCGCGCTTTGGGTGTGAGGCGGCTCACAGAAAGGGTCTCACAGTCACAGAGCGCGCAAGTACTGAATTGAGCACTTGAATGTTTAAAATTGTAAGACTCAAAAGCACATGCAAATGATACATTCCGTCATCTGTCACGAGCGTCTTTCACATTGAAATATTTGCAGGAATTTAAAGCGCGGAAACTGCGGGAATCAGTAGATTATGCGCAATCCCCGCAATCCCGCGCCGAAATTCAAGCCGTGAAGATTTTCTGGGGTATCGCAAAACACACTGCTTTTGAAATAGGGTAGAATGATGCAATGGATGAGAATAAATCAAACTCTATTTGTGATAATAATAATATCAGCAAACCTGCAGGTGCTGAATGCTTTACTCACACATTTGTGTCTCATTCATTAGTGCTTTTATTTAATTATAGTATTTAAGGCCCCGTAATTTACAGATTTCAGGCCCACATGAAATTTATGGATGCATTTTCTCAGCTGATTTGGTTGAAAATCTGTGGTAATCTGGTGCCGGTTGAATTTGAACATGGTAAAATGTGCCAAATACAAAGAAGAACAAATGCAGCGTTACTGGTAGCTGACAGCTTTATGAATTGACTCAAAATATTAATAAACATACATGCAATGACCAGTGAAAGACGTTAAAAGTGTGTTTAATTGTGTTAAATGTGCACTTGTAGTGTACATCAAATCTTAAAAGTGTATATATATACAGTGGGTACGGAAAGTATTCAGACCCCCTTAAATTTTTCACTCTTTGTGAAAACATCCTTAAACATAACCATCAATGGAGCATAAGCGGATCAGATGAAAATGAATGAGCAAGATCTCACGAGTTCATGCGAATTAGCCACCAATTCGCCAAAATAGTTACGAATTGTCATGAGTGTGTTGAAATATCGATCTTCTTGTTTTAATCAATCTTCATTTTAACACTTCCGAAAGATGAGGCTGCAAAGAATACCCGGTTTATTTGGACCAGCTGGCTCCACTGAGTCACAACCTGTAAGTATGATAAATAATGGATGTTTATATTTTCTATCGAGCGTTCAAAATATTGAACTATGGCAATCAGTGTTGGGGGTAATGCATTACAAGTAACGCGAGTTACGTAATCAGTAACTAGTAAAGTAACGCATTACTTTTTAATTTACAAGTGAATATCTGAGTTACTTTTTCTGATAAGTAACGCAAGTTACTTTTTTTTCCAATTTATTGATTGACAGCTCTCCTGTTCCCATGTTGAGAGAAATCAGAAGATGTTACTGTAGTTCTAAAATAAATATAAATATGCATTAATTCATCTCACTCACTCACTCACGCTTTTGAATCAGAATCGAATCAAATCATGAAATCTGTCCCAATACCCAGCCCTTGTTCATTAAATACTAGTATTTGCACTACTTCATTCTTATTACTTCACTATGACTGGATGGCCATGGCCACGAGTTTTTGACCTGCAAATGAAGTCATACATTAACACTCAGGGTTTCTCACGTCAGAAAGTCCAGAACTGTTTGTTACTGCTGCTTGGTTTCAATAGGCGGTCTTTTTTTTAT